ATGAGGACCACGTTTTTATCTACGACAACGCCAAGACTCACTCGAAGCACGAGCCGTGGGCACTTTCAGCTCGTAAGCTGACCCTTGGGCCCAGCGACAAGCAGTTGGTCAAGGTTCCTGTCCGAGGGCCTGATGGAAAGATCATCAAGGATCAATTCACGATGGAATAGATGCGAGGAGCTACTTACACGGACGGGACACCACAGGCTTTGTACTTCCCCGACAACCACCCCACACATGCTGGCGGGTTCAAGGGCATGTCAATTATCCTGGCCGAGCGTGGCATCAGCACAGCTGGACTCTGGTCGCAGTGTAAGGATTTCAAGTGCAAACCTGGGGCAACAAGCTGTTGTTGTTGTCGTATCCTTTTCAACGAGCCAGACTTCACGAATGTTGAGCCGATCTTGTTCACACACTGCCGCACGCGGCGTTTGCGTCATGTTGCTGCCGAAGTTCCACCCGGAGCTTAATCCAATAGAGCAGTGCTGGGGATATGCCAAGAGGAAGTACAGGGAGATGCCCAAGTTGTTGAAGGAGGCAGAGTTGGCAAAGAACATGGTGGATGCACTGAGAGAGGTGACGACGGAGAGAATTCGCAAGTGAGTCCGCAGCGAGCGTGCACTATGTTCACACGCTCATATCAATTCTCAGCTTCGAGTGCGAACGGCCTGCTTCATGAACACGTATTGTTATGGGCTGAATGGAAGCCAATCTGCATGGGCGGCGAGGAAGTATTGCGGTCATTGTGGTTTACCGAACTACGATAAGCTGTTGGGCGATTTGAAGGCGGCCAACAAGGCTTGAGGTTGGGATTTCTACAGTAATTGTTCAAGACTGCATATGTATTGGTCTCTTACTATTACTAGCTAACACACAATCACTTATAAAGCTGGACAGTACGGTACAGCGAGGTATGGAAGACAGGAGCCTCGCGGGGACCTTGTAGGCGAGTTAATGAGAATGAGTGCGAAATGCGAAAATCCACAACCGTCAATCTGCGTGCATTCTCTTCTGCTCTAGAACGCGCTCATTTTCGAGCTGGCGCTGGACCGTATGAAGGAGGAGATCCCGAAATACTGTTTTCCCGCACCGACGAGAGCGAGCTCTGTGACCGTCACGCGGATCACGTGGGGTCGTCGCTTTTGCTTGAGCCGTGTCTTACGAGGTCGGTGACCAGGTGTGGCTGGAAGCGACCAACCTCAAGTCCAAATGTCCTTCGCCTGCACTCAACAAACAACGTCATGGCCCTTTCAAGATTCTCGAGAAGATTGGCGCATCTGTATACCGTCTTGATATTCCCCTAACTTGGAAAACGCACAACGTGTTCAACAAGGCTCTTCTTATGCCATACACTCCACCCGCCTTTGCAAACCAAGCCAATTCGCCAGAGCCTCCGCCCAAGATGATCGATGGCAAGGAGAGATATGAAGTAGAGGCCGTCATCAATTCCAAGATCATCGGCAGAGGCACACATCGGAGCATTATGTAATTGGTCAAGTGGAAGGGGTACTCGGACCGCCATAACAGCTGGGAGCCTGTTGCCAACTTGATGCAGGATGCTGATGAGGTGATCGACAACTATCACAAGGGGAATCTGTGACGCAAGTGTATCTAGTCGTGGACAACTAGCCTGAAGGGAGAGTGATGTTACGGACACCCGATTATCCATTATATTTTTCCTTTTATTTTCCTTTTCCCAGACTCCCACATGACTCGGCAACTCCAGTCTCCCGTGACTCACGAACGACTCATCCAGTTCCCGCCCTTTGTTTACATCTATTTATCTCACCTTACCTATATAAGACTGTGCCCCCACTTGTAACTTACCTTTAACCTCGATCTAGTCAATCTACCAGCTACCCAGCCGCTTATCCTGGTCACCTTGCGCTTGCCTTTGTCTGTGTTAGTAAGCGGCCACCTAGCCATTGCTGACAAGGTGACTTGGATGTGAAAGGATGCACAGTATTAGGTGAAGAAGTTCAGCTCTTGTATCTATACATCCCATCGTCACATTGCGGAGGGAGTCGCTGCTGCTATGGATGCATAATCAATTTATTTATTCTTTTTCCGACTCGTAAATGAATATATATATTACTTTCTGAGCCGATCACGTGTTTTAATCATCTCGGTGACCTCAACTTCGCGAGTTTTTACTTTCTCGGCAATCTGTCTTGGGGTCTTGATCAGAATCGTAAATGGAGTCTTTTGGCAAGAGGGAATCACGAGGGAGCGAAAATTGGGGGAGGGATAAACAATGTACAAAAGCGGTGGCGACTAAGTAAACGGCACCATAGACACTGTAGCAAAAAGGCCTCATTACCTTCTCGCTCTCGCTCTCAACTCGTGCATTCAAAAGTCATTGTGCAGGACTTTAAGAGACTCAATTCATGATCGTCAAAGCACAAACATCGTAATAAGCATACTAACAACACGAAACACAAGGCCATCAAACAGCAACCTTCTCATCGACAACAGCAGAGTTCTTATCCTTCTCGCTGTCAACGACCGACATATCATCGTCGCCCTCACGGAGACCCATCTGAGAAACATCGAAGCCGTTCGCCTCGAGGTATTCGCGGAACTGTACGTGGTATATCAGTATCTAAACATGAAGATCGAGAGAGATAGACGTACAGCGCGGTCCTCGGCTTCCATGCCGTCGTGGTTGAGGGGGCGGATGAAGAAGAACGTGACGATCGCACTGAACACGGCGAGACCTAGCAAGCCACGCGATCAGTCTACCCGCACTGCATTTTGAGTAGGAGAGCACGCACCACTACCGACCCAGAAAGGACCGGTGTTACCCTCCTTGCTGCTCGCACCACCGAAGTCGTCGATCATAGCGGGGAAGGCTGAATGGAGGATCAGTCCCACTCAACGAAGTTCATTGGCAGAACATACCCCAAGTACCAACGAAAGCTCCAATCTTGCCAACAGCCGCAGCGACACCATAGAACTGGCCACGGACAGCCGTGGGGCCAGTCTTAGCCGCGATCAAACCCAGGCAGTTACCGGGACCTGGCATGAGTTCGATGAGCGCGATACACGGACCCACACGAATCGGAAGTACGCACCGAGCTCGCCGAAGGACAGGAAGATGCCGTAGACGACGGCGAATGCGGCGATGTGCTTCGTCAGCCTGGTCAAACATGAGCGACATGTTACGCAAAGATGCGATGACGGGCGTACTGGTCGTAAAGACCGCTCATGATGAAGCCGATGACGGCCTGCGAGAGCAGGCCAGTGATCTATGAAGGATTTTTAAGCGAATGCGCCCGTCCCACGCAGAGAACAACATACCATACACCACTTGGGCCCGAGAAGGTCGACAACAAACGCGCCACCGAAAGTACCAGGGATGTAGAACAAGCTACATCAAAGATCAATCACGCGCCACGACAGGAGCGCGGCGCTGGAACGTACTTGATGACCACATTCCAACCGAATACCACGCTGAGGGAAGTAGAGCTTCCAGTGATCCTACACCCAAGTCAGCTGGTATGCTCGAGCGCGAATTAGCGCGAAAGCGGGACGAACGTGTCGACGACAGTAGAGCTGTAGATACCGAACTGGGGTAGAGTTAGGCTATGCAAATGTCAGATTGGCATGGGAGCACTCACGGGATACCTGATAAAGGCGCTCGTTCAGATTTGTCAGACGAATGCATGTGAGCGGACATACGTGATGAAGTCGTAGATGAACCTTGTACGAAGGTGAGCCAAAACGGTTGTAGTAAACATATGGAGGGTGAACGTACCAGGTAACGCAGATGGCAGCGAGCTGGACCCAGTAGCGCTTGAGGATAAGCCAGTACGGAGTGCGGACATGGCGCATCGCCGACTTCTTGTAGAGCTCCGGCTGCTCCATCTTGAGACGCCAGATGAACACAGCAATAGCGGGTACCATGCCGAGACCAAGCGACAGACGCCAGACGGCACGCAAGTGGTTGTCGCCGAAGATCCACCAAAGCACGAGCGGGACGAAAGCAGCAATGACGAAGCCGGTGTCGATCATGCTGTTCGTCGCGAGCGCGAACCAGCGGTGTTGTGCGGACTTGGAGATGTTCGGGTCTTCGCTCTGCTCGCTCGCCGCGACGGAGCCACAGGGGTACTCGGCGCCCACGCCGATACCGACCATGAAACTGTATATGATGGCGTGAGAGGGTGTTCGACGGATTAGGGCGCTACAACCGGAGTGGCGCCTGACGTACCGGCAGAAGGACAGCATAGCGAGCAGCCCGCTCGTGCTATCGTGCGCGCCCGCCGATGCAGCCGAGAGACCTACATCCATCATTCGTTAGACGAGGGAAGATAGATGGGAACAGTTGTGGCGCACCGCTGAACAGGGCGACGATAGCGGTCGCCAACATCTGCACGCACATGCGTCAGTCCTACCCGGCCATCAAGAAAGCGCAGCAGGATGCACGCACCATACCGAATCTATTGTTGTGCCGGCATACTCGTCAGGGCTATCCGGGTGGAGTGAGGCGGGAAGGGAGTGTACGCACTTGCGGCCAAACTTGTCAGAGAGGTAGCCGAAAGAGAGCATGCCCACTACGGTGCCGGCAAAGGCGACGCTGGAGATGGTGGTGCTGTAGTTATTCTTGGCGGTCTCGTTGGGGTATAGTCGTTTCAAGACTGCGAGGCAAAGTTGAGAACGGGTGCAAGCGAGCTAGCAAGGAGAACGTACTCGTGTTGACTGCAGAGATAGGGGCAGAAATGAGCCGCGGTCGTATACGACGGACACAGAGTACGCACCGCTACCGATAACACCATTGGCATAACCTGCGATATCCGTCAGTCCGGGCGCGCCAGTTCAAACCGCCCAAGCGCACACACCGTCCGAGAAGAGGGCCGTGCCAGCAGCAAAGATGTTGGCGACGTGCTGCGCGTGGTATGAGCTAGCCGTACGCACACTACGAGCGCGAGCGGATACGCACCTTGAAACCCATCTTGTCTAGAAGAGGATGTGGCGAGGAAGAGCAGCGAAAAAAAGATAGGCACGACGCTGTGGCCCTTATATATCGAGTAGCCGGGAAGCCATTCGAATTGATGCTCCGGTAAGGTGGCCCAGGACCACCCTCGTGCGCGATACGATTCGTCCCTCGCTTTTTGATCTCGGCGAGTATATGAGCGTATCCCTTACCGTTTCGGTATACGATCGGTCCGCGCAGCCCGAGGATGTTCTATTTCGGGTTGGCGCATGCTCGTCTAGTATCGACTTGGCCTGCAGAGTAGTCGAAGGCATGAACGCCGTCCAAGCCGACGGGAGACGAGCGCGGGAGGAACGATCACAATAGACGCGTGTTTGGCTTTGACGCTCGTACGCGTGGCGCCTCTCGCGCGTCCTTCTTCGACCAGAACCACCATCTACCTCTTCCCGCCGGGTTCGTCTTCGCCTCTCTCGCCTCATATGCACTAACAACATAATCCCCCATCCATAGACCTAACGACTTTCTTCCAATCGGACTGAACTGTTTGTTCGTAGTGACGTGCTCCCTGTACGCGCCCCGCATAAATTGTGCCTGTCCTAACCTGTCGCATTTGCCCCTCTGTCACAAATCCTGTCATCGCACCGTCGCACTCACAATCACACAATTCTTCTCTGCACCGCATAGAGTTCTGTTTTTGAGCGTCCCCAGCAATAAATTCAACCCGGTATCTTCAGCAAATCAGATCAGCGGACATGGCAGATGACGACTTTGACCTTTACGGCGAGGAGGATAACTTTGCGCCTACGCCCTCCTCTCAGATCGAGGTCCGCGCATTCGCCTGTATGCTCGCGGGGGACACCATCAACTGACACACGTCTTTTTCTTCCTTCGGGCGCCTCAGACTGTACAGCAACACGACGCGCCTAACGCAAGCGCCCACCCGCCGTCACACGACGAGCCAAACCCCTCCACCCTTGGCGGCAAACGCGCACGCGAAGATGATAACGATCAACAGCAACAACAAGGCTTCAACCCCAACGCGACCGGCACACCGCCGCCGGCGTCGATCGGCACCTTCGACGGCGGACAAGGGTTTCAGCAGAACGGTCAAGGCGGCGGTACGCACGGCGCCGTGAACCCCGCCTTCAACAACGGCATGAACATGGGCATGGACGGCTTCGGCGAGCAAGACGCCCTATACATCGGCGACTTGCAGTGGGTACGTGAGAGACTCGTCTGCCGACGTGGAGTCTGGTCGTGAGCTGGGAATGTCGGGACTCATGACGTGTAACAGTGGACGACGGACGAAGATCTTCGGCAGGTTGCGCAGTCGCTGGGCATCGCGCTCGATCATAAGAAGATCACGTTTTCGGAGCACAAGGTCAACGGCAAGAGCAAGGGCATTGCCTACGTCGAGTGCGGCTCGCCCGAGAACGCGGTGACGCTGAAGGGATTCTTCGAGAACAAGTATGTGGTGGTTCGCTCGTATATGCGCCTCAATTCTGACCGCCCACCTCAGTGACTTCCAGAATCGCCGCGCGACGGCAACTCTGACGAGTTCCGCGCAAGGTAACCCTTTCCGTACGCTCCCTAAAGGTAGGATCTCGTCGTCCATCCCGCACTCTCTTGGCGCTCACCGATATCCCAGATCCTCCGTCGCGCCAGGGTATGCAAGCCGGCACACAGAACTTCACTGGCGGCCGCGGGGGTGGCAACTACCGCGGAGGAGGTATGAACAACGGCATGCGCGGAGGCGGCGGTAACATGCGCGGCGGAGCCATGCCCATGATGAACAACATGGGCATGGGCGCCATGAACGGAATGGGCGCCATGGGCATGCCGATGGGCGCCATCATGGGCATGAACGGCATGAGTATGAACGGCATGAACGGTATGAACGGCATGGGCATGGGCCGCGGGCGCGGCATGATGGGCGGCATGGGTATGCGGGGCGGCATGGGTGTGTAGCATTCTTCTCGTCGTCGGGCCGTTCGAGTCTCTCCCGGACGGACCTTTTCTCTCTCACTCTGTATACTCCGTCGGAACCTTGTAGCGCTTACTGTGTATTTTTATCACTCTTTTTTGCAGGCATGGGTGCCGGGATGGGCATGCGAGGCGGATTCAACGGAGGTGGTGGGCATTTCAATCCTGCGTTTATGGGTGGCGCAGGCATGCAAGGTGGGATCTCGGACGGGCCGCGGATGAAGAAGCCCAGGATAGATGACAGTTGAGATGAGGGCTTTCCTGTGTCGATCTATTTCGTATTTCATATATTCATGTGTATCTTTGCTGGACATTGCGCATATACGATGTAAAAACCCGAACCTGTAGCACGTTGCATGCATCATCCCAAAATGGATATTTATTTCCCGATCGTGGACCACGTTCACACTCCCCTTTCTACCTTGTTGTCCGTGCCATCCTATTTCCCGCTCATTATGGTCCAGATGCAGGTCGCATAGAATACTGGTAATGCGCCAGTACTTCCACAATAGCCTTTGGGGATATTGGCGTCACGTGCGCCCTCGGTGGTCGGTCTAGCCACGCCGGCGGCTTGCTTTATACCACCACCACGCCCTGCACCACCGTCTCAGCCTCACACACACACTCCCATTCACCTCCCGTCACAGGTCACGATGGCCAGCAGCCACTTCTCCTCGCTAATGGCGCAGAGCAGGCAGCAGACGGAGGCGGTTCAGGCGCAGGCGAAAGCCCAGCTAGAAGCGAAACAGCGACGAGAAGCCGAGAAAGCCCGAGAACAGGCCGAGCGGGAGAAGAAGGCGAAAGAGGCGGAGGAGAGGATGCGGCAGCGGCATTTCGAGGAGCAGAAGCGGGAGAAGGAGCGGCAGGAGAAGCGGGCACAGGAGAAGGAGGCCGAGGCGCGGCGCGAGGCACAGCGTGAGCGTGTTCGCGAGGCCGTTCTCCTCGGCAAGGGCGGCGGCAAGTCCCGTGCGCGCTCGGGTGGCGGTGGAGGCGGTGGATGGGGCCGTGCGAAGAAGAAGACGGACGAAGAGGACGACGGGAGCGTCGGTGGCGGCGGCGGCGCGCTGACTCGAGAGGAGAAGCGTGCGCGGCGGATGGAAAACGAGTTCCGGATGCCCGGCTCGGCGTCGCGCTCAAAGCTCCCGACGCCCAAAGCGGGAAAGCGGCTCCCTGGCGGCGCATTACCCTCTAACCTGGTCGGGAGCGCCAGTCGGGGCAGCAGGACGATTGACGACGCTATGCGAGACCGTGACCGCGGGAAGACTGTCTCTGGCAACAGTGCTCGCTCCTATGATGGCTCCTTCTCCGACTCTAAGATCGGCAAGTCCTCTTCCGACAAGTTCGCGGGTAAAGGTCTCCCGAAGAAGACGCCTGTCGGGCGTGACCCACCCTCTTCCGCGCCCAAGCGTGCGCCGCTACCACTCGCTCGACCTGGCTCTGCTCCCGCATCGACCAAAGCAGTACCAAAGAAACGCTCTCGCTCGATCAGCGAAGATTCAGACTACGACTCTTCCCCTCCGCCCCGCAAGCGCTCGACCAACGGTGGCGGCGGCGGCGGCGGTGGCGGAAACGACGTCAGGGACATGATCTGGGGTATATTTGGCAAATCGCGCGATAAATACGTAAATCGTAACGATCTCAGCGACGACGAGGATATGGAGGCCGGCGCATTCGATGTCGAGCGGGAGGAGAAGCGCAGGTACGTCAATACCCGTATATGGCGTCAGCCACACTTGACCAATCATTGCGCAGTGCCAAACTCGCTCGTCAAGAGGATCTGGAGGCAGAGCTGGAAGAGAAGCGCAGGGAAGAGGAGAAGCGACGTCGCCGTATGTCCAAGGCCTGAGCGTCGTCGTATTCATCCTACTTGGTCTAGATCCTATCTCATGAGTTTTATGTTGACTGTACCACACGCTTCGCCGCTGCTTTCCTTACACGCATACTTATACCTATCGCGCACTATCGCATATCCGCCTCCACGTCCGCCTCCTTGTGTATCATTTGTACCGCCTCTCATCCGGATTCACCCTACACGCCGGACCCTCCTCCCGCTCACGCACACGCTCTTGCTTTTTGAACCACCAGCATCGCTCTTTATCCAGTCCCACACGGTTCTCTCGATTGATTATGTTCATGCAGTGCAGTCATCTATTGCTATAGACTGGTACGGTCGTGATCTAATCCAGAACATGCGAGGTGTGCTACAAGAATGTGTGGCCCTATCGTGAAAAGACATGCAAATCGACTCCAAACGCCCCTATCCCCCTCACTTGCTCTCGTGACGCCAGACCTGACGGGGCAGCATAGCTGCCAGTATCAACGACGCCAGAGATATCGCGATGAGGACATAGTAGACCATGTAGCCTCCCATGTACTTGTGCTTGACCGAGAGCGAGAAGAGCGAATTGGCCATGGCGGGACCGATGGTACGGATGATGGACACCATGAGCTGCGCGATTCCGTTCACGCTGCCCAGGCTAGCCTTATTCGGCGCAGAGGCAGTGATGAAGATGAAGATACAACCTATGTCTGCATCAGCATCATACTATCTCCTCAAGCTCAGACGAACTCACCATAGCACAAGCTGATCCCAAGGGACAGACTCGTCTGAAGGGCCACAACGAACCAAACGGCAGCATTCATGCCTCCCTCACGCATCGCCAGCTCATTCATGATGGGGAAGAGCGCAAAGATGGGCACAGAGCTCAGGATCCCGGCAAAGAAAACGTTCTTCGTACCGAACCGATTGTGTATCTTCGCGAACAGCAAGATCTGGAAGACACCATTGAGGATACCGAATATCGACATGATATTCCCGATCATAGGCGGCGGGAGCCCGAGCCCGCCGAGCTCGATAGGCGTGCTGAAGAATAGCGGCTGCACGGCGCGATACGCGATATCGACCAGACTCAACGAGGTGTAGTTGATCGCGCCGATCAGCACGCGCCATACGAGCAACGACCGAAACGCCACGGGCCTCTCGCTGTCGGGCACATCAGAGCGCTCGGCCTCGTCCAGCGCCTTGTCCTTGCGGCCGAACAGCTCACGTATCGGCGTCGGGTTCTGCTTCGTCTGTGTATGTGGAAGACGTAAGAGAAGATCAGACGGTTTAGTCAGTAACCGGAGGGGTTCGGGGTCACGAGGTAAACAGGCGCGCACCTCTCGAAAGTACAGGAACGTTATCAACCATGCAAAGGCCGTGAACGTCGCCGGGACGGCACAGGGCAGGAAGTACGGGTAGGTCTTGAGGAACTCGGAGTGGCCGAAGACGCTAGGGTAGCGCTCGGCCGGGCGCGAGAGCCAACCGCCTATCGCCGGACTGTGTACATGTAAGATGAGCTTCTGTTCGAAGATCCCCTTTACCCCACCGAGAACAAAACGTACCCGAGAGTGCCGCCGGAAGCCCACGCGATAGGAAGAAGACCGTACACCTGACCGATGTGTGTGAGCATCGCGGCTCGCAAGGGGGAGTTCAGACGAAGCGCCGCACCGTTGCGAGGTTCGACGAGTCGGTGATCTCTGCGATGCAGCCCTTCATGACACCGATGTTGCCGTTCAGCGCACCGTTGAGACTCCGGCTGATGTGGTTGAGCGAGCATATAGTGTGCATGCAAAGGAGGGGCGCACCTTAGAACCGCGCCCCAGTATGTTCGTGACAAACCGAAACAGTACATGGATAACGAAAGCCCAAAGAGTCCCTAGCGCCGGATCGTAAGAAAGCTAACGCCGCAAACATGCTCAATATCATACCTGAAGGATGACAGGTCGCCGACCGATGATGTCTGACAATCGACTCCAATGGAGGACAGTAAGCGCCTGTGTGCCGAAGAATATACTTTGCTACCAAGTCATGAGTACCAGTACGCAGTGAAACAGTACTGCACTCACTATAAGTCCAACATAGAAGCCCACTTTGCTCTCGTCACCCCCAGTGATGCCGACACGGCGAACAAACTACACGGAGCAGACGGTGAGCATTCAAGCACGCGACTGAGCGCGGATCTCGCGCAAGCTCTACACGCACCTCAGGAGCGAAAGGGTAGATGACCTGGCTGGTGAGCGGCTCACCCGCTTGAATGAGCATCACCAGCGAGACCTGCTTCCATGGGATCGGCGTCGGCTTTTTGTGCTGCGTTTCGAGCAGCGGCGTCTCTTCGTCGGCCGCCCGGCCGTTCTGAGTCGCAACAGTCATTTTTACACGGTATAGACAGTCGAGAGCAGTCAAAGCAAGACGAAAGCAAACGGAGAATGGGAGACGGCGCGGTGGCCGGGTAGGAAGATGGGGGTCAGCAGTCAAGAGACTGTTGAGTCAACGGATTCGAAAGCGAGCAGGGTCTTCGGGCAACCGCAGATGTAATCGGCGCCCGGGCCGAAAGTCGGACAACTCAAAGTACCTCATGGGATTGCAAGCTCCGTACGTTTAGCCCGAGGCACCGTCGGAGTTGAGGGCGGCTAGGCCGAAGCAAGACTGTCTATATTCGTAAACAAACAAGATACAACGTCTATATGTCATGAAGCGTAAGGGATCGTCGTGAAGTACGATCAGTAGTTTTAGTTGTCGCTCTCGTCGTCGACGCCGCCTTCAAAGTGCCACAGCTGTGCAGGCAGCTTGGCCACGAGGAATAGGGAGAGGACAGACAACACCACGAAGATGATGTATACTAAGTTCCCGCCCGCGAGATTTTCTTCAATCGACACCGCGAAGAGGGATGTCGCCATCGCTGGTCCAATCGTACGAATGATTGAGATCATAGTTTGGGCCAGGCCATTCACCGATCCCAGAGAGCGCTGGCGAATCGTCAACGGCGAGGCGATCAGAACTTCGAGAAGGAGACGTACTTGACTGGGAGCAGACGCGGTGATGTACATAAACGTTACAGCGTACGCCATGTCCATTACGCCCATGAACACCATCTGCACACCAAGTGCTACGTACACGGGCGCGCCAAAGCCATACTGCCGTGCAATCATGTTTGCCACGGGAAACCAGGTGAAGATGGGCACGAATGCAGACATGGCGATGACGAGTATCGGCTTCACACCGATTCGGTCGACGATAATAGGGAAGAATAGGAACTGCGCGATCCCGTCGATGACCCCATATAGACCAAGGAAAAGACCGATCTGAGCTGGTGACATGCCTAGACCCCCTAACTGGTGACGTGTGAGCCATTCGTCTTGGAGACTTGCAGGAAAGAAGCATACCTCGATAGGTGTAGAGTAGAAGAGAGGGCCCATGCATGCCATCGCGATATCCAGGAATGCCAGGGCGGCATAGTTCAACACAGCGAGGATCACAGGTCTGGTCAGAAGTTCGCGAAGAGGTCGGACCTCTTCCGCCTTGGAGTCCTGCGTCGATGAACTGCTTTCGGACGGTGTCCTTTTCTTTTGCTTCGGTAGTGTCTATATGGCTTCATGTGAGATGGGATGACCAGAGGGACAGAGCTTCAGTACTGACCTCTTTCAGGAATAATGCGACAAGGATGATGATGAGCGCCGTGAACAACGCGCCAATGAGACTGGGCAGGAAGTAGGGGAATCGGCGCCAGAATGGCGTGTCAAAAGTCCCCGGAAACTGGTCTGCTGGTCGCGACAGCGTACCGCCCATGAGAGGCCTAAGCATCGTTAACGGAAGCACAACTACAGCTCCAGAGATAACTATACGCACCCGACAGATGCTCCCAATGCCCACATAACAGGCATCAACGCGAAGCCTCGCGCACGATTAGAGCGGTCCGTCAACTCGCCCATAGCGCTCTTCATAACCCCTTCGAGAAGGTTCAGAGGGGCGTAGACGTCAATGAGGGGGATACGCACCAATGTTGCCATTCAGCGCGCCACATAACGCTCGACTGAGTGCAAGGGCCCAGAATGACGAAGAGGAGAGGCCAAACAGCACGAACGAGACGGCGAGGCCGGTGAGACCGATGAGCAGTACCGGCTTGCGACCGATATGATCTGAAAGGCGGCCCCATTGCAAGACAGTACATGCTTCTGCTGCGAAGTACAGAGATTCCTAGAAGTCCGATGGGCACACGTCGGAGATCCTGAGAGACTTGCTCACGTACAATGATTCCCGCATAATAGCCTACGGCGCGTCTATCTCCATGCGTGATGTCAAGCTTGCTGATGAGCTGTATGGCGCGTAAGTGCTGAACTGGCGCATAGACATTTAACGGACGCACTTCATTGATGTATGGTAGCAAACTCTGCGACGTGATGGGCTCCGTCAACTGTGCGAGCAGTAGCAAGCCTGCGATGCTATTATTCTCCTGACTTCTACACGAAGGGCAGTAAACGCACCAATCTGCACGACAGGGAGTGGGGTCGCCTTCTTCAGGCTTTTGGTGCGGGCCTGCTCTTGGTCGGCCAGCAGTGGTCGCGTCTCGTCAGTGGCCCTCTCGTTCTCCATGGTGCAAGGAAAGATGAAGGCGGAAGCAAACTTCCCGAACGGAAGTGTCGAGATACGAAGGTGTCGGCGCGGGAACAGACGGTCTCCCCGGCTCAGAGCTACTTCAAGTCTCGAGTCAAGCCCGAGTCAAGATGTTCAGGTGGTACCAGTGGCATCCCACGGCCTTATATAGTTGTCGTCCGGCGGAGTTCTGCATATGATGTAAAAGAAGGAAGACGTCTACTGTGCTTGAACTGGACGGACGAGAGATGCGATTCGCCAACATCGGCGCATCACCGTCGGTCCACGCGCGCCCATGTGTCCATCGCAAACTCCGTGACATGCTGCTAACTTGTCTCCCACCATGATCCTCACTCAGAGCCACTGTACCTTACACAGAGGTGATTTATCTCGCCGCGTGCTATCGTGTGGTGTACGCCGTGTCGAAGATGGGATGACTTTGATGCCGCTTCTGTTCGAGGACGCGTATCCAGCCATAGACGCTGCGTTCAGCTGTACCTTGCTATATCTTCAATAGTGTTGCCGAGCCATGAGTACGCTACATGTGGTCGGCTACTCGCTATTGCTAGTGCACACCGGTCAGCAACGAAGGTCGTCGCGCGCTTTCACACATGCTCTCTTGGAGGAACCGAAAAGATGAGAAGATATGATGATCCATTGTCTGAGCTCGATGCAAAGAGACTGTATGCGGAACTGAGAGTACGGAGGGGTGATGTATCTGAGAGGCGGAGGGATGACCGAAGTGTTCATGTGCGTAATCGTAGGTGGTAGCATAGCGTATAGGACGCTTGTAAAAGGTGACGTATGGAAATGTATGGCAAAACAATACGAGTCGAACTATGTAGGTGTGGAGAAAGACGGCGTAAAACCCAAAAAGGGAGACCGAGAACGAGTTGATAGCGAATGAAAGAGCGCGAGAGCGAGAGAACGAAAGCAACGAATATCGAGGCAATGCGCGTAGTAGATGCGACGAAGAACAGGCAATGACGACCGAAGAAGTCAGAACCATAGCGGCGCGGCTGGGGGAGTGAGGTAGCCGCCCGCCGAGGCAAACTCGACGGTGGCGCGAAAGCTTGCAGAGGCCGGATCGGTGTGGCGTCAAAGATAGGAGCCTTGTGGGTGGAGAAGCTCTGGCGCGGTGGGCATTCAGGCTCGTTGTATGCGAGGAACTCCATAACATGGGAAGACGAGGCACGGCTCTGAATGAAGAGTCGGTCGAGGATGAGGAAGTCGGAATCGCTAGCGCTCATGTGGCGCGATGGAGAGATAGGCGCCGGAGACGCGTGGGCGAGCACAGTTGAGGCGTTGAACGCCGGAGGCTCTGCGAACTCGATGACGGGCATCAACGGAGTCGCGGGGAAAATCCCCTTGGATACGCGGGTTGGCTGACTGTGGTAGGCGGGGATGGAAAAGCGTCCAACAGAGACGAGAAGGATACGCTCGAGTCGCTGAAGAGCGAGCTCACGCTGTCCTGAGATCTGTAATATATATCAACAAAGAGCATTATATGTGGATGGGAGATGGACGTACGATATGGCGTATGTGCTAGAGACCTTCTTCGCACTTGCGAGAGTCCTCAATGGGTTGCTTGGCAACGATGGGAGTCAGAGGAGGCGTATCAAGCTTGATCTCGACTGGCGGCGCCGCTTTGGGCACCGAGATAGGTCGCATGGGATCGAGGTCGGTCGGTTGGGACACGTAGATTGGTGGAGGCGGTTGCACCGGTGCTTCGAATGAGCTGCAGACATGAATCAGGACCTGGTCACAAGGCACAAGGGCAAGAGCTTACGATGATCTAGGCCTTGACATCCGCTTGCCGCGCACGAGAGTGAGCTCCTTCTCGGCGGTAGGACGAAGCTGCGCGTCCAAGGGTAAAGCGAGGTCCGTCCTGAGTAGGAACGGCTTGAACCGGGGTACCGATAGAGGGCGGATCGACGACGTCGAGGTAGGACCGGTAGTCCAAAGTGTGTTCGCGTTGTTCTGACCAGCGTTATTGCGGCGGGACATGGCACGATAGTTGGACACAGTGATAAGGATGATGACGAAAACGATAAAGACCGCGAGGAGAGAGTAGAGGAAGACCGGGGAGAAGAGGCCAGTGGGTGTGGATGAAGACCGAGCGGTGGTGGGAATGGCAGGCATGTTATTGATAGCGGGTTGTTGTCTGACGCGGGGTTGGCGTTGTTAAGGGCTCGCAGATGTGATGCTTCTGGACTGCCCATTCAACGATGAGGGAGTACGTCCTTTATATATCATCTGTCGAAGGGCTGAGACCGTACTCAGAGCCTGGCCTTGGGGAGGGTGAGGATCGGACCAGCGGTGTTACCTCTAGTCCAAAACCTGTAGCTCAGGGAAAATGCCGGTCAGAAGTAAGATGTCCGTGCTGCATATCGTCACGTAGGCAATGTCGTCAAGAATCCTGTTTCGCCGAAGGGAGGAAGTGGCAAGTAGGTCTCGCGGAACTGAGCCGAATCGCATGTCCGTCCCATATAGCGGGCAGGCAAGACCACAAATCTCTCGTAGTACGATGAAGTAGTCGAGAGCGACGTAGACCGCCATTAGTCCAAGACTGAATCGCTGGAGGCTCTACGTAGAGCTGCACCGTCTTCGAGGAGTCGGCCTGTCATGCATGCCAGTATCTTCATCTATGCATCCTAGAGCTGGGTGATTCCGCAAATCAACTTCGGAGGCGGTATGCCTCGTGTGATGGACGGGAAAGCAACGTGCGCGTTGGGCGAGTTCTCCTCCAGCATCTTCCCTTCTGAGACAGACGCCGGACATCCCGGACTTCTCGTTTTACCGGCGTCCAGCATGTAGCGAAGAAAGTCATTCATAGCGCTCAGCAATCGTGGTGGGCGGGTAGAAGAGAAACCTTGAAGCTTGAAGACTGCAATCATGATGGTCGAAGACAACAGGGCTCTTCGGCGCTTCGGTTCGCTCCGAAGCCCATCACTCATTCGTATTTCGGTCATGACCTCCACGACATGTTGCCTCCCGCCATGATCCCCACTCTGGGTCGCCATACATAGGGTTGGACAACTTCCCCGTGCGGCCGTAAAGCGTAGACCATGATGGAGACTGGAAGATGCTGCTGCTGTTTCTGCGTCCGTGATCAGCTTCCATACTTTGCACCCTCGCAGGTCTGCGCCGATAGGTTGCCAATGGCGTACAAGGATAGTATGTCAACCGTCTAGAACGTATGAGGACTGAATAGGCTAAGGGCTGTCGTGGGTTTGGGATCCTCCGACAACGTTGATGGATCCCATGGCAAGCTTCCCTCACACATACATATAGATAGCCGCCTTGAAGCAATGCACTGTCTACGCCCACGAATCGATATGGCTCCTCATGACCTGGATGAGGGTAGAATGTCAGATTTACTGTCGTCGTCTCTTTTGCGAGCCTCCTCGATCATCATCCGTCACTCGACCTTTTCTATCGCTATCGCACTGAACCTGTTTGCCTTTCTCCTATTTCGATATCTGAACAGCCCATGGCGTAGATTGCCCCCGGGCCCTACTGGGTATCCACTCATCGGAAGCGCGCTCAGGTTCTTTGACCCTTCTTGGTTAGTCGGAGAGTCTCCTAAGTATGGTACGCCCGATACCCTAGCACCGTGGTGGTGCGCGTGACGGCTCATATAGAGCAGGAGATATCGTGTATCTGAACGTCGCGGGACGGCCGACCGTGATACTAAACACTCAGAAGGCAGCGACGACTCTTCTTGACCGACGCTCTTCGAACTACTCTGGGCGCCCGCGCATGATCGTGGCCAACGAGATCATGTGTGACAACAAGTTCCTGGTACTAGAACCGTTCAATGACAGGTACGGCATCTCGACTCTTGGTAGGAGCAACTGTTGACTTCAAGCGACAGGTTCCGCCAAAAGCGCCGTGCTATCCATGAAGGTTTCAACAAATCTGCCAGCAGCCGCTTCCAACCCGCACTCGAGGAAGACGCGATCCGCCTTGCATCATCGCTCACACAAGACGCAGAAGCTTTCAGAAAGTACTATCATACCTTCGCTTGCTCGATGGTGCTCGGTGTCACGTATGACCGTCCACTGCTCGGGCGACCAGAAGATGAACAGCTGCGTGAGCGTATCGAGGCTTTTGTGAAGAGAGCCCAGGAGACGACCGCCCCTGGGGCGTACTACGTTGAACTCCTTCCGTGGATGAAGTACCTGCCCGCATGGATGGCCAAGTGGAAACGGGACGCGCTCGCTACCCGCCGTGAAACGACGTCGTTCTTCATGGAACTCAAGGACGAGGTAGCCACTCGGATGGTACGAGCTATCGTACATAACGTTATAAGTTGACCATACTAAAAAGTGAATCTAGGTCCGTGGATTGGTACGGCCTTGCCTTGCGGCTACGATGCTTGAAGATGCGGGGCGTTTTCAGTTGTCCGCCCTTGAGACGGCATGGGCGGCTGGGTTCATGTAGTGCGTATACTTGATCGAATATCATGGCTCGAAGTTAAGCTCTAGAAGTACGGCAGGGTCGAGTACCACCTCCACTATGCTTGAGTTCTGGACCCTCGCCATGGTCGCCTTCCCAAACATACAGAGGAAAGCACAAGCTGAGATCGACACTGTGGTTGGTCGTGGACGGTTACCAACTTTCTCGGATCGAGCACACCTTCCATATACGACTGCGCTTCTACGTGAGGTATTGCGCTGGCGCACAGGCCTTCCGTTCGGTGTTCCACACACTTCGGAAGCCGATGACTATTACGAGGGCATGTTCATCCCCAAGGGAACAGTCTTGCTCGCAAACATCATGCCATGCAATCAGGATCGCGCCGTATATGGCGATGACGCGCACGTCTTCAACCCGGAAAGACATCTCGACCAGTCTGGGCAGCTTGCTCCTGCGCCTGCCTTTACCAAGGACCACGGCCACGTCTCATTCGGTTTCGGGCGACGGATTTGTGTTGGACAACACGTCGCCATGGACGCCCTCTTCATCGCGACTACGATGCTTCTCTGGAGCTTCACACTCGAGAAAGCAAAAGGCGCCGACGGACAGGAGATAGAGGTAGACGCCGAAGGCTACAACGATGCTGGACTACTCTTGTGAGTGGATTTGCTTTTCGTTCTGTACGTCAGTTTGACCGTGTATGAAGAGCACCAAAGGATTTCGAATGCGCCATCCGACCGCGATTCGCAGACGTGGACGCTCTCTTGTCAACGGAGAAAGAACGACACGCATAGATATATGGTTCTCCATCATGTCACCGCTGGGACCGGACTCCGTATATCTGCTGCGCAGTGTATAATTCCAGAGCAGCATACACCGTGGAACAATCATTCGGAACAGTAAGCGGTGTCTCCAGTTGACGGGAGCATGGATCAAAGATGATAGTTGGCTATTTGGCAAAAAGGGAATCAAGTGAGCTGAATATGGGAAATCCAAGATGCACATCAGTAGATGGAAAGGCGGTAAGTGGTACGTAGAACAAGGGGTAAATCCGGGAGACGCGAGGGGGATATACATGTCGATTATACGACAACGCAGCCGCTGCAGCACCCGCCGCCTGACTGCTCCTCGACGCCCTGTTGGTTGAAGCCACCGGGAGCGGTGGGTCCACCGGCCTGGCCGGGAGGACCCTTCTGCTCCTTGTTGTACTTGCGGATCTCGCGGACGAGGTTGGAGAAAGCCTCGTCGACGTTGATGCGTTGCTTGGCGGACGTCTCGATGAAGCGGCAGCCGAAATGCTTCGCAAGATCGCGACCCTCTGGCTCGGGATTTAGCGTGACGGCTCGGAAGCACGGATTATGTTATTACGTACCGTTGTTGCCGACCTGACGCTCGAACTCCAAGTCGCACTTGTTGGCGACGACAATGACAGGGAAAGAGTCCTTGTCCTTTACCCGGAGAATCTGCTGGTGGAATGTGCTGATTTCCTCGAAAGAGTTCCGCGAAGTGATAGAGTAGACAAGAAGGAAGCCCTCGCCCGTGCGCATGTACTGCTCCCGCATAGCACTTTTGAAGTCGTCAGGTCACGCGACGTAATTGGGGAGTAGGGAGAACGTACCCGTATTCCTCCTGTCCTGCCGTGTCCAGAACGTCCAGAAGTGCCACCTCGTCGTCAATTACGCATTGCTTCCGGTACGAATCTATCATGAGGAGTCAGTCCGGCTCATACGCTATCAAGAGTACCTAACTACCTTCGATAGTTGGGTCGTACTCGTCAACGAAGTGCGACTGAATAAATTGGATCTGCATAGATTATTCGTAATCTGGAACGAAGAGCGAGGGACCGAGAACGCCGCACCGTCAAGGCGGACTTGCCGACGCCACCACCGCCTACAACGACGAGCTTATACTCCCGGAGAAACTGTGCCTGCAACAGGCGTTAGCAGATATACCGTTGGCATTATAAGACGTAAGTACCCTGGACATGGTGGAAAGGAATGAGGAAAGGGGAGAGCGCCTGAAGCAGGGGTAGTGGACGAGATGGTCAAAGTGACGGGGTCGCACGCGAGGGCCTCGTGTGCTAATCCGGTAACTGCCGTCAACATCTTACACAGCTTTCCTACACCCTTCCAGGTCTCGCAGGTCCCGCATCTGTTCTCCATCCCATATCGGCATCTCAAACACTCACACCCACGCCACCTAATAGAGTCGTACGTCGAAGATGCATTGTAAGCTAGCTATGTACAAAAGAACGTGTTCGTGACAATTCGTGAAGAGGCTAGGAAGAATCCGCAGAGTCCGCAAAACGTATGTATGTACTGCCTACCCAGGGCAAAGTAGCTGTCTATAAGTTACAGCCATGCGGGGCGTAAAGCACAGGCACAGCCTACTAGTAAGATGATAAGTTATAGATCTTGATGGATGCTGGAGGGCGCAAATCACCGTTTCAGGGGATAGGGCGGAATCCACGCGTGGGCGGCACGGCCGGCCTCGAGCTCAGAGGTGTCACGACCTTAGGTGTATTGACATCGAACTTGACGGGACTGACGACAACATCCAACCGCATGTGAGGCGGGAGTGGTAGCGCGCGAACTGCGCCGGGGCTTTCGCGAGGACGAGAGCCGAAACCGAATGTCGAGGTGACCGCCGAGTAGATGCTCAGTTCGTCGTCGTAAATAGTCAGCCTTGGGCGGAACTTAGGGAGCGGCAGCATATCGGGAACCTCGTCGTGCTCTTCGCCATGACCTTGGTCGGTGTAGTAGTCGGTCATGTCCATCTCCGTTTGTGCAGGAGAGCCTTGAGCGACAGAGCAAGGAACATTGGGAGACGGAAGGTTGGGGGTCGGGCAATCCTGCGGCATCTCCACTAGACGAGGGAGAGCGGGAACAGGGGGAGGCGTCGAAGGCATGTAGTCGTTCATGTCAAACTCGGTAACGGCTGCAGTTGCAGGCGCCACGTCGTCCAATGATTGACCCCGCCGAGGTAGCGTGTCTATACGCCTGGGAGGAGCAGGTCGTTGCGGGGAAGGCGAACGACTCCGTAGGGAGCGCGAGCGCGGTGCTGCACTGATGTAGTCACGCGCATCCTCCTTGATGACATACGGAGTCTTGGTCGCTTCTAGCCAGTCGGAGGCGGTGATGGGAAAGTCGGGGAGGGCACTCTCGCGCGTGGAGCGGCGATGCATGTACATGCTGATGACGGCCGTCGCTCGATCACCGGGCACAGAGAGCGTATGGCGGCGCGATGTCGCTGATGTTGCCGAGAAGGGCATCAAGACGATATCTTGCTCGTCCGTGCGGGCCGGGGACGCCTCCATATCATCCGAGCTGGACTCTACTGCCTCTGCACGGGCAGGGGTAGGCGCCGCTACACGGGTGGGTGCAGGTGCGAGTGCATGATCCGCCAATGGCGCGAGCGAAGCTCCTGGAATGCGCGGAGGAGGCACAGTTGGAGGCGCGACTCGCTTGGCGGCGCCCGTTGCATTATTCATATGGCCATGATGGAACGAGAACCGAGCGAGTGACTTGCGAATCTCCGGGAGTAGAGGGAGAGGCTTGTGCATCGCATTGCGCGCCATGAAGGGTTTGTTGCCGGTAGTGCGCAGGAAATCGCTCAGCGTTGCAGTGTCGTTTGCGCGATGCTGCGATGTCTCCGGAGCAGGATGCGCCTGCGTAGTAGACGCGGTCGGCGCGTCTAGATCTACGGGAACAGGCTTGGAGATCATCTGCTTCGTCACATTACGACCGTGACCCAGATCGCTGCCGGTTTGACGAGAGGAAGAAGGCATCGAATCGGTATAGGACATGGCTGGATTGCTGCTGGGAGGGAGCAAGTGCGTTCGCGAGTTGGCTGAGCCATCCGATCCGTGAGCTTTGTGGTTCTGCCACGGCTTGCGCAAGCTCGGAGAGGGCATAGGCGCGTGTGGCCGTTGTCCTTGACTGTCATCGTCGAGGAACGAGCGTCCATAGCCTGTCCCGGAAGCGCTGCCCGGTAGCATATCCTCCTTCGCCATCGCCTTCTCGACCTGTGTCATAGCGCCGGTATCCAGAGCGGGACCGAGTACCCGCAAGACATTGTAGAAGATGAGCACGTCGAGAATGCCGTTCGTATGCCGAAGGACGAGGGTGAATGTCTGGCCACCGGATGCAGTGGAGTATCCGGAAGTCTCCAAGAGTTGACAGATTGCATTGGGGATGATGCAGAGCATGAATGCTGAATCTTTGTATCAGTGATGTCCCGATCAAAAAAGGTATGGAACGCACCGGCTGGGAACCATATCATGCTCCTCGCCACTGACCGTACGAACCGCATGTAGCGCTCGACTCCGCTATCCCTCGAACGCCAACTCTCTCCCTGCGCGACCATATGGAACTTGAGACCGCCGTTCACGGTGATATTGCCACGAAGTACGAGGAAGATAAGGGAATAAATGATAACAGATGTGAAACATGAGAGAAAAAGCTGGGAGTGGGTCAGTTCGTGAATACGAGAATATGGCACATCGACGTACAGGGACGAAGTACAGCAGGACATGGGCCACAGGGTATGCACGCGTTATGCCACAGTCGATGACGACAAAGCCATAGAGAGGACCCAAAGAGCTCGAGTCGACAGAGACGGGTGCGGCAGCTTGCGGGGAATAAGTTGGGTTCATCTCGCTCAATGCAGTTCAACTCACCAATGACGACCGCTGCGATCCAGCCAACTGCAATCGACGATAACACGAACCAAGAGGCGTGGTGTGTCCTCAGTACCAGGGTGATGAAAGTGTGGATGCCCATGACCACGATGAAGTATGCGGTCGCAAACTCGCCGATCTGGCTGAAGACTCCTACAAAGCTAATCAGTATTTCGCTTCTCCACCGAGCTTTGAAGCGTAACGCACCCTGTGAATTGCACGTTGAACCTAAAACATCCTATTTGTCAATACACTGCGGGCCGAGTCGATGACGCATGCTACGCACCGTGCTGAACGCCGTCCAAGGCTATCCACTCGATCTCCACCAACCCACTGATGGACGTGAAGAGGTTTGCCACTAGTAAACTGCCTGCGAACTGGCCGAGCTGGGTCTTGAGTAGAAAGTAGCCTTCACGGCCGACGTTCTCGACTGCGGCACCCTTGGCGTACGCGATCGAGCAGACATAGGCGACACGGACACTGACAAGGGCTAGGGCCATAGTGGATAGCAGGGCGAATGCGAAGACAGCCTACAAAGCACCAGATTAGTCGAAGAGCGGCGCTCAGAGTCCGGCACACGCACTGAAGCGCCCATCCGTTGCCCGCCATCAAACATGTAGAAAGCATCGGCGGCGCTCATAACAAGTCGTGAATCAGGTGAATATAAGTTAAAAGGTTGCAAGCCAAAGAAGAAGAAGAAGAAGAAGAGAAAAGAGAAAGAAAGAAAGAAAACGGGCTTTCAGAACCCGCGCCAGACGTGCAGAACGACGACGATGGATGGAGGAAGAAGAAAGGGATGTCACCCCTCGGCGCTGTTGAACGCTGTACATCACTGCGCAGTCATCGCCCGACAGCGGCTCCTCATTATTTCATGCACAGGCGCGCCACGACCGGGGTGGCTGTGTCATTAGGCGGCAACAATGATCGCTGACTGCAACTCGTGTCGCGGCGTGGACTGTGCGGCCCGTGCCTCGGTGTCACTGTTGACGACTTCTCTCACACTACAGTACAACATTGGTCTTCGACTACATTCGGGAGCACATAGACGCCTATTTGCTAACGAAGAACTTTGCAATACCCTTCTCAGCCCCGATCGCCTTCCCGCCTTTACCCAAGGCCGGCTTCTTGCGCTTAGCTGGGCGCTCCGTAGCGACGGCGGTGGACGGTCTAAAGCCAGGCGCTCCAGACGAGTCGGTCTTCGCAAGGTCCTGCGCAACGTGGAAGTCTTCGTGCTCTTGTTGGGCCTTGGCCAGCGCCACGGCGCGCTCGTCCTCGTTGGAGGCGGAGTCGATCTCGGGGACCTCGACACGAATCTGGCAGCGGGGACAGACAAATGTCTCCTTAGTCGGACTCGTAGAGCCGCTGCCTTCATCGGAAGACTCCCGTTTCCGCTTGCTCACAGGAGCACTCCGGGAGCGTGGCTTGTCAGATGAGGTTGGAACAGTAGATTGGAAGAACCCCGATATATTCTGCTGCCCTATCTCTCCTGCTTCTACGCCGCCGAATCCCAGAGCAAGATGCGTAATCTTGACGTCCTTCGAGTCATCGATGCCCACAAGCTCCTTCCAGAGCTTACTGGCGGGAACAGCAACCGACTCGACATTCAGATCATTGGTGAACGGGAACGGCATCTGCTTGGACCGGCCCTCGCCGTAAGCTGCACCGTCGTCAATACCGGGATCATTCAGATAGAGATAAAGCTGTACTTTGCCCGATTCGCCGAACGTGTAAGACCAAGGTCTTCGGCCATACCGCGGGCCGCTCCTCACGAATGTCCTTCAAGCGTAAAGCCAGTTCAGCTGCTAGAGCGCGCATCCACTTGGGTCCATCCGATGATTTGGTGATCGGGTGCGGCAAGTTCTTGGATGCCATCATGCTTTTGGTCAATAGCGACGTCTTGTCTTTCACTGCGGTGCAAACATGTGTGAGCTTCGTGGTGATGCATACAGATCTTGAATGGCGTCGGATGTACCTTCGGAACGATCAATACCGCTAACAATGATCCATCAGCAACAGCCTTACAGCGCGGCAACCGGCGGGCTGAACGTACCGAAAGAGCTCATAGATCCATGTCGACTCGTCGCCAAACTGACGTTGGATCTCCTCTGCATGTCCCGCTCAATTACTATAGGCTTGATTGATACCGGGGAGCTTACCAAGAGATACCGTTCTGCGAAATTTTCAGCCATCGCGTCAAGTTGCAGAGTAAAATACGCACAGCATATCGCCGACTGTTGCAGCACTGAACGCGTCAGACAACGACTGTCCGAGCTTTCCGCCTAGCATACGGATCTGTTCCGATTGTGTCTAAGCCATAGGGACCACATATGAGCTCAAGTCGGGCCCAAATACCTTCTGAAAGGGTAACGGGCGTAGATAGCCTGGAATCGCAGAATTGCGGAGGATGCTCTAGGACGTATCAGCGCTAGTCTGCACGCGAAACACGGGACTCACTTGGCTATCAAACTTCTTGTAGGAAGCTACAAGCTATACTAATGGTCAACGCAGCGCATGCATAGGTCATTCTATCCAATCACCTTCGCAAGATACTTATTTCGCGAGATGCCCTAGCGATATACAGTAGGTAAGCAACGTCCTTGCACAGTACGGTGCCACATACCGCGGACATGGTGTACCCAAGTGTTGTCTTGACTGTATTTCGGAGCGTGTTCATCAACTCGGCGCCAATGGAGAGCGCTACATCGTGCCAAGTTGGGGCTGGCTCGGGCCGTAGTACTGGCGCTTCGCCGGTCTCAGTGCCTTCAGCATCTTTGCTCTCGGGGTATACGGGTATCAATATTCCATGCCCGTCCCAGTCGATATGAGGAGCTGGTGGAAGCGGGGTATCAAGTCCGGCCGGTGCGTTGGGTGGTACTTGGGAAAGGTGTGGATAACGCTCGAGCATGATATCGCGGACTGGAACAGTGAGATCGAGAAAGACTTCGTCGATAGATGCCTTCTCTGGAACAAGATCATTATCCGAGGATATTTTGCTAAGTTAACTGCTGACGCACCGACGACACCCGTAGTCAGTCCTTCTTTGAATATACCGAGCACCTTGCCGCTCTCACGACGGTAGAAGTCTAGAGATATCTAGTCGAGATGAGAATCCTTGTAACGTCCGCATCATGAAAGGCGCACCTTGTGGTTCGTTGTGTCGGGATTATCACGGTAGACGGGCTCTTGATCCCCCTCCTTATATGTCGCCACATGAACGATGACGAGCTCAGGGCACTTCTTTAACGCATCCCTCCATCTATCCATGCGCGAGATTCCAAACTTCCTTGCCGGATAGTTGACGGCAATCAAAGAGTCCCACTGTCTGACCACGAGAGGCTTGGACGGGTCAATGCCGAGGCGTACTTGTTCACAAGTCGCGTAGAATGCGTCGCTATCGCACAGCGAAATGACTCGTAGTGGGTTGCGAGCATGCGGGGGAGGGGAAATAATGTGACGGTATGTGATCGTTGGGTCAATGTCTTGAAAGTCGGGGTCTTGGAGTGCAGCCTTCTCCTTGCCCTTCGACGATGACGGTTTGGACGATGGAGGTTTGAAGAGACTCATGGAAACTGTAATCAGATGTATTGCGTAGTGTACAGTGCAAGGGGAAGAGACAAAGTAGTATGTGGAGTGCGTCGTAAAATTCCAGAGAAGATGCGGATGGAGGAGACGGTATCGCAGAGAGAAGTGGTGGTGGTTCGCGGTCAAAGTAAACGCGCGCGCATGGACGCGACGCGACTGGGGCTTCGGACCCAAACGCGATCACATGAGCTATCGGCATTTATAGCCGCTTACTGTACGCGACGTGTACGCCCACAGAAAACATCTTTTGAGCTCCTACAAGCATCCAGATGCACAGACCGGACCGTATGTAGACTCAGAACACCTGCACCGGCCGGGCAGGAGTTTGGTATGCAGAGGCTGAACTCACGTGGTCGCCATGTTGTGGTTCGGATTTCATTTCATCACCGCCCATCATCTCCGGTAGCCTTGCGGCACCCACAACCTCTGCGACTACCCCTGCTTCTTGCTGAAGAAGCCCCCATGCATGTCTACCGCGAAGTCCTGGCTCAGTCGAAAGAAGCGCCTCAGCACCCTCCTGGGCAGTGCCGCTGGAGATGAGACGGAGGAAGGTTTAGCGCTGGATCGCTTGCTGCACGGCCAGGCCGTGATCGGGAAGACCTGTGCGCAAAATATTCTACTCTGCCAAGCTCGCTCTCTGACTTTTGCCTCCAGCTAAGACCAGTGAGGTCGAGACTATCCGCTTCGGCCAGAGCGATCTCACCCTTGTCGGTGCGCTAGAGTACGGCCAATACTCGGTGGTGCGTGACCCACCTGTCCTCTCAGGGCGATGGTCTGATGTCTGCCAGATTGACGTCGTCAAATGTAATCTCGACTCGAAGGTGTATGTGCGCAAGTCGATAGAGAAGCGATTCGCCTACAAGACTCGCGACGTACGTTTGCTGCTCGTGTGACCAGGATTGGACCTGACAACTAAGCAGCAATGTAATCCTCAAATAGAGAAGGAGATTCTGCTGAAGGCTCGGGAGCTCAAATCATCCTGGACTCCGCATCTTCTGTGCTCCTTTCAAACGGAAACACACCTGAATCTTGTCATGAGCTACGCCGAGGGCGGGACCCTCTGGGATGTACTGGAGTCGAGTCCATACGACGGCCGTGTGCGTGAGCAGGACTTGCTGTGGTGGTTCCCACAGATTGTAGCCGCTCTTGACTGGTGTCACGAACAAGGCTTTGCACATCGGTACGCGCTTCTCACTTCTTTGGTACTGGGTTGTATCTGACCCTTGACAGAGATGTCAAGCCGCACAACTTCGTCATCGCATCTTCCGCTCAGTTGCAACTGATAGACTTTGGCTCTGCTGCACCTCTACTTCCGGCTGAGGCCGACGGCACGCGACTGGTTCCTCGCGAGCATTGCATGGTACCGTGCGGGACGTGTGACTACATCGCTCCCGAGATTCTGCAGGCTCATGAGGCGGCGCTGGTCGCCTATGAGATGACCGACGAGGATCTTGAAACCAGCACCGACAGGGCCATGGCTTCTGGTGCTCGCAGTTACGGCGTGGAGGTCGACTGGTGGAGCATGGGCGCAATGTTGTACGAGATGGCGTTCGGCGCTGCTCCCTTCTTCGCGAACGACATCCGAAGTACATACCAGAAGATCGTCGATCACAAGAAGAGCTCGCGTTTCAAGCATGGCGGTGACGTGTCTGCGCCTATGAAGGACTTCATCAGCCGGTATGTATGGTCTTTTCAACCTGTGTTCTTTTATCTCATCCATCTATAGGCTACTCACAGACGCGGAGGTGCGCCTTGGGCGTCATGGCTCTCACGAAGTTCGCCAACATAAAGTATTTCGAGACATAGTTTGGGGGAACCTACGCGAGAGTCAGTTCCCTGCTTTCCCTTACGGCACCCGTCTCATCAAAGCTCTGCAGATCAACCCCCACCTGACATACACCTACCTATGTTCGCCTATAATACACCCGAAGGAGACGCGGACGCTCCACCAATACCCGAAGACGTCCCCGCTCTCGACCACTCCGGTTCAACGGGATCTGAATCTTCCCACTCACAAGGCTTTCCATTCTCCGCCTTCTTCCAGAGCAGCTCGCCAGCGCTATCTATACTACACTCCGCCCCGCGGCCGAACAAGTCTATCATGCGCGAACAAGTATCAACCTTCTTCATTGGCTTCTCTTGGGGTCCTCGACGCGACGCATTCCCTGCTGGCATCTCAACACCGTCTCCACCGGCACATCAAACGCCGTACCAACTCGGTCGCTCTGTCTCTGGACCGCCCAGACTCGCACAGACACCTTACCGCGCAACCAGTGCATCCGCAACATCCATGCGATATCCCTTCGTCACCCCTCTCCGCCCCTCCTCAGGTGCCTATCGCGAGGGCATGTCCACGCTTCCTCGCACGGCGACAATCCGGCGCACCGCCCAGAGACGTGCCGTTTCTGATCGTGAAGCCATGCGGCAGCTCGTGGACTGTATCGGCATGAGCGCTCAGAAGAAGCTTCTCGCCGTTGGCCGTACACCTCGCACGATAGGACGGACGGGCACAGCCAAAGCTCTCCGCTTTGTGCCTGCGCCCATTGAGATTGGGCTGGACTCTATGCGACGTCCGCTTGCGGTTGGACAAGAGACCGTGAGCGAGGATGAGGGGCGCAGTGCGAGCATACGCAGTGCTTGGGGAGCAGGCCTTGATGACGCAGCGAGTACAAGCGAGAGCGAGGGTGAAAGCATCCCGCCTAGTCCAAGTCCAAGCCCGCGTCCAGGCTCAGCTATGTCCATGCTCTCTCGACGAAGCGCAACGCCTACAACTGGCACCTGGTCATTACGCCTTCCCTCCGGATACCTCAGTCGACGGTCAACCTCTCCGTCTGAGATACTTCCCAATACAACTACCGGTTCGTCTCGTGGTCTGCCGCCCACCCGGCCGCGCTCGGGCTCGGAACCTCTGCTGAGCGGTCCGCGCATTGCTTCTACATCTGCGCTTGCACCTCTTGAGCCCGTAGCGGAGTCTACCCCTCGACCTCCTCGCACGCAGTCGACCATGAGTTCCAGAAGCGAGTCTCCCCCGCGCTTCGTTCCTAGTACACGATCGAGGTCTCCGTCCTCTCGATCAAGCACTAGGACACGGTCGATCTCCTCTCGAGCTTCGAGATCTTTGTCTCAATCACCGGTGGACGCTTTCTCCGACGAGGAAGATGAGCTCTCATCTTTCGCTCCTCCCATCGAGTCGACGCCTCGTCCTTCACGCTCACAAGCGGTTACTTGGGCTGTATCATCTACCCGCCCACCACCCACGACGACCCGCTCAGCCCCAGCCACTCGTCTCCCATCCGCCGACCCTCCGCACCACGCACCCCGCGCCTCATCGCTAGGCAGCATACAGAACCTCGAAGTCCGCTACGAGAGCCTCATGCACGAGCTCGACGTTCTCCAACGGCGTTTCGACGCCGCGCGCTCAGTACGATCCCGGACTTCTTAGCACTAGCACTAGTAGACCGTTGTGACCCTATATTCGTGTTCGGTACTGCCATTCCGAGTCGCGGCGATGTATTTTCTTCCCCTCTTCGATTTCCGGCTTCCGAGTTGTATCAGGTCCCGACGAGTCCCCGGCCAAACAACAGACTATACGCATCCCCATCCTGTATACCTACCCTGTATCACCGTCATCTAAGACATTCATCCTGCTTGATATCAACACCAGTCTCGACGGCTCAATGCCCGCGGCGATGGTCATATGTATATGCGCCGCACTCGGCGCCACTTCCTCTGCAACGGCGATTTCACCAGTTCCGATCATCATACATCAACAATTGTACCGAACCATTGTTTCAGTCCTGCCAAAGCCTAACCGTACATGGTACGAGCGCCAGCTGCTATGATCGCCGGACGCCGTACGTGCCTCCATATCTGATACGCAGCCGCTCAATGACTTCGCGTCCCGCGCCAATCCCGCGCCAATACGGACCGCAGCCGCCGCACATTGCACACCTGTAACACGCAAAGAACGATGCAAAAGCGACGGAGAAACATGTCTAGTGAATTGAAGATATGAACAAACAGCGGCAGATAGGTGTTATTTCGAAATCGAAAGAGATATTGCGATCCAAGGGGTAGGTTGCACACAGATTGAGGATTGATTCGGGGGTAGGAGGGGATGGAAAGCGCGAGCAGGCAGCGGGAGGACGGTGCGAGGGAGGTAGAGTATATAGATGGTGGATCGAAGAGGAGTAGATAGGAAAGCAAATCGAGTGACTGGATTTTGTGGATTTTATGGACGTAAAATTGGGAAAAACAGAAGGCATTTGAGATATTTCGTGAATGAAGCATAGCATGGGGGGTGTTTGATATATGTAGCACTGAGCAAGGAGATATTCATCGATCGGACAGGGGTTGCAAGACGTAAAAAGCGGTAAGCAGAGCAAAAAAAGCGAGCGTATCGACGGGGCTGCGGAGGGTGTGATGGAGAACTTCGAACGAATAATCGATTCCGTGACGCCGACCGACGCCAAGTCAAACGCGAACGATGGACGATGAAGCTGGAATGGAACAACAGGGCCGCGAACAAATGGATGAGCAAGCCGCTGAGGCACAGACTTCCTCGCCCACTTGGTCGTGTTAGAAGTCAAGTCGTGGATGCCAGAAACGACAGTGGGGGTTGTTGCCGGGTCGATCAGTACCATGTGGATTGGGGGCTAGAC